AATAAAAATCATAATGATAATAATAAAAATAAAAATAATAATTTTGATAATGCTAGTTAGTCGACTACTACTAGATACAGCTAATAAGCCAGGTATTATTATTGCCCTCCTGCGAACGATGAACACCCACCCAAGCACTCTGACGGGGCCACCTGCTAAGTACTATCTGCTAACTGCTAACTACTTCATATCTGGTTAGTGAATGAATTGACCTGGTTACCTCGTGTCGGGAGTACGTAGCAGAAATGTCAAGTATAGAAATGAGGTTCCCACCTGAATTGGGGAGCCAGAGAAACAGCAGGGACAAATAATTCCAAGGCGAGTCGTGAGAAGGAACGGGCAACCAGTCCGTCAACCAGCATTTGCTTTGCGTTGCTTTGCTGTGCTGGCTGGGGAAAGCAAAAAAGCGGGTCAACGGGTCGGATCTCTTTGCCAGGAATAATCATCGCCGCCCCAATTTAAAATCATAAGCAACTTGCCAGAAGTTAAAAGCGCAACATGGCAGTTGCGAAAAGAAAAAAAAGAAGTAGAAAGAAAAAGGAATTAACCAACAGGTTAATGACAGATGAATGAAATCAAATACAGCTCGATCTTTACTGGAAAACCAAATTCTATTTAAGATATTCATATCTCAACCTCAACCTACATTTCCATAAGAGACCTACCTACATAACAGAACTACATCAAAAACAGCTGCATTGGGGGACCTCGGAAATATTGGGAGGAGCTAGGGATGTGACTGGACCATGGGAACCTTGAATACGGACGGAGGAGTGGGCTTCAATTGGGAAAACCCGACTGACTCTAGAACGTTAGTAGTGGGGATGACCGCCTTCCCTGGCTACCTAATATCCTCACGAGGTGGTGACGAAATGCTTTTTTGTTTTTCTTTTTCCTCTTCCTCTTCCTGTTCCCTCAGGCTTTCTCCTTCGGTTTCCTTCTTGGATGCAGAATGGGGCAGAAAGAGGGCGTAATGGACGCCCGATCCAGAGGAGAACCACTAAAACAAGGGCCTGAACGTGGGTGTTGTCCCTTGCCTGGTTCGACCGGCCGTTGGGATTCTCCTTCTGAGTCTGGTCATTCGTCCGGATGGGCGATCGTGTACCTTATGTAGTAGTGTTCACTAGAACCGACTATCTACTACGTACTCACTTGGTGTGCCGATTTATGCATGCTTTTCTGTCGATGACCACTATAATAATACCAAGCGGCCCTCGTATACTTAAATTGAGTCTTGCGCAGTGGTCATGATCAGCCGACACAACCCTTCTTCCCAGCTGCCAGCTGCCAGCTTCCCAACACACCAAAGCCAGACCGACAGACCAGAGAGAGAATAGACCAGAGACCAAGTGAGAGCATGAGAAGGCGCCAAGTCATCAGGGGCATCGAACCACTGTTTCAAGCCGGCACGAAAAAGGTCGCTACTGGAGCCGCTGGGGCAGCCGATCGTCATTACGGCGACTAACCGGGCAGTCATCGTCTGCGCCCAACTGCTGATTGGCTGTCCGGAAGATTACCGTCCTGGACACCTCAGGTACCGCCGGTCACGCCGCCCACTGGTACCTGCCTTAGGTACCACCGCCTAGCAGGGGACTTACAGTAGTCTGTTTTTGCTGGTTTGCTGGTTTGCTGTTTTAATTGTTATTCGACTTGTTATTATGATTTCCTCTCAGAATCTACTACTTACTGACTGGCTTCATGAACTCCCGATCGCTACCAAATCTAAGTAACTCAACTAAACGAACTTTAATCACATACACGTCAATGGATCATACCCGTCCCTGACCAAAGAAAAAAAAAAAAAAAAGCCCCCAACCACAGCGCTTAATACATCTACGTGCTCCTCTTCTTCCTCGGGTCATGCCCCATCCTTGACCCTTGGATATCCTATCCACGGTAGGGATAACCGCCATCCCTGGAGTTGTCCTTCTTACCATGATCGGTACTCCAATTATTTGCCCATCAAGGCCGAGCTTATTTAATGCTGGGGCACTATGAACATACCTCATTCCTTTTTTATCCCTTGGATGATGGATCATCATAATTCCTGATATCTTTCTTATCAACTGTCCTTTTCCCTTCTATCTACATGTTCGATAAATCTTCCATTCCTGAACCCCATCCTCCGCAACTCTACTTACTCCGCCCTCCAGTCTTGATAGCTACTGATACGACACGTCCAACCACACTAACCGGATTCTTCCGGAATGGAGTAGATATTCCCATGAGTGCAGCATTGGACTAACTAGCGCCAGCTTGCACGCCATTGGACCAACCACCCAATGCTAATGCTGTATCTTACTCCTACGTCTCCCGACATGAAACCGACCTTGATCAGCTAGCTACCTTAGCCTGCCAGCTAGGATGCACCTCATCCAGCTATTTAATTTAAAAGCTGACAGTCTAGTCTACTCGGCTTACCCGTGAGGGAGGGGAGGGAGGGGGGCCGTCAAGCCAATCCCTCTAAAATAGAAACTCTTGACAGGGATGTTCCCAGGGAAGCAACAAAACAAACCAAGACAAAACAGAAAAAGGCCCATGCTCAATCAAGGAGACTCTTATTGATTAGTTTTCGGCGGCCTGGGCAACTACCTTTGCAGTGTAACCCTCCGAGTGTACTGTAAGTAGTAATAAACCGGATCTACTCCGCATGACGACCGACGACCAGTTCGTTACCCCAGCATCGCGCCGATGATAATAGTGAGTTTCGGAGATTTCCCCCAATTACGTATGCGCTGTGAGCCTGTGACAACTGCTGATACCTACTGTACAGTACAGTAAACTCTAGCTAACTAACTAACTAACTAACCGATCTAATTATAATTTCAATTGCATCCCTTCATCGATCCCTTTGTTTGTCTGCTGCTGCTGCTGCTGGTTGTCGGGGAGATCTAATTTACCCTGCCAGCCTTATCGATGTCTTCTTCTGCAACATGATCAATGCTTGTCTGAGAAACCAATTTCAATTTACGCCATGTTTACTTTCCCAAATCGGGGTCTGATGGGCAACTATCTGTACATGGATGTCTGAAATAATCTCTGAACACATAAACACCACAGTTACGATCTTTCCCTTTCTTGGGCTAGTCGCGTGGAACATGTCCTGCATGCCTATATTACTTGTTGTCTCTGCATTGAGCTATGGGGTACTACTATGGCAGGGTCTGAGGTATACTAATTTCCTTTGCTTGATCTCCCCGGGAACGAGGCGGTCCTTCTCGGGGATGTACATATCGCGTGATCATCAAGTAGGTAGTTATCAACCTACATTATAGGAGTCTTGCTAGGATACCAATGGCTTTTTCACTCATCTCCGGGGATAGGGAATGACTCGCGCATCTCCGAACATAACCACATCGACTACTACCTACTGGCTAAGTAGCTAAACAAAGCTGTCTTACCCAATAAATCCATTATTGTAGTATAGCATCAGATATTCCCCTTTATACATGGCATTATGCCGAGCTGCAGCTGTAGATTGCTCATAGCCCATATGTGGTACTTATGCAATTCTCGCTCATTATGTTCGCATTGCTATCCCCGCTCTCCCTAAGCTACATACATACATACACGCACATAGGGTGTACAACATTACATTACCCTGTACATAAATCTCACATGCTTCCAATCAATCAATTAATAAAACTACTACTGCGTGTCGTACCCCATCTTCCCTCTTCGTCCGTATAGAGAAGCAGATCCCCACCTAACCCAGAGAGATATTCCTACCTACCTGAATCCTAAACCCTAGAGATAGACACTATCTACATCCTATGTAACATGAATCCAATGAATCGACATTGACACATAAATACTACCAAACATACATTGCACACATCCCATTCCCCAATAGACATCTAAAGTCTAGACTATAGATATACTCTATACCAAGAACCCATAATCTCAACCCCCATATGATAATTCTGGATAACCCGCCAGCCGACCCCACCCACGACCCACAACAACCACACAATGGTTACTTCCAGTTCCCACAAAAAGTGTCTCGGTAGAGAGAAGGGATGGGGGGGAAAAAAAAAAAAAAAACAAAAAGATATCGACAACAGTCGGATTTGAACCGACGCCTCCGAAGAGAATAGATTTCTAGTCTATCGCCTTAGACCGCTCGGCCATATTGTCTTATTGATGTTTAACAGCTCAAATTTTGGCTATATTAGGGGGAAACTAAGATAAGGAGGCATTTTTGGTGGTGTGGTTCTTGGGAACTTCGTGACGGAGGTGCTGGGATGCGCTGTATAGGGTATATTTTGGTTTGGTTTGTGTAGTAGCTTGCTTGGTACTACTAAGTAGTAGTAAGTTAGCTGGTAGTAATATTGTGTGAATTGGTGAGATGATGATACGAATCACATGCTAAGTAATATATATATTTACTGCGGCAGATAATGGTAGGTAGTAAGATGTGATGATTGGTTCCATCATGAGAGTGGTGCCTAGGTAACAGTAGAGCTACCACTGATTCAGGTAGACACAGTGTATGTTAGCATTGGACATGGTGACAGACACCGGTGCGAGAGCGAGGAGCAAGATGTATATATCAGCCAGCTGGGAATGCATTGGATTATGGGACATCGACTCGGATACATTCTTACAATAAACCTACGCCTAGTGGTATTGAAACCGTTGCAACTGTTCCTGGATATGGATATTTGTAGTAATTATACTACGTAGTAGACAGAAAGACAACATTGGTGATGGGTATCGAGAATCAATATTCACAACTAGTCTGGAGATAGAGTCGGTCTCTAGTGTAGTATATGACAAGAACAAATGTCACTGCTGTTTCCGTCTTATTGATGTGCCACCGTATATCAGGCTGCACCATATCTCCATATAAACAAGGACGTGTCATAAAATCATCCGAAAGAGCACAGAAGAGACGACACGCGGGAAATCACCAGCCCAGGGCATCAAGGTCATGAAATCATACATTAAACAGTGTAGCAAACAAATCAGAATCAAAGAACACACCGAGAGCATCCACGTCAACGCTTGCCCCCCGACATAGACATACCGCTCAATGAAGTAGTGCCTGGTGCACCGTATGCGGGTGGAGGGGTCGAGCTGGGAGACTGACGTCTTACAACCGGCTCACGCCCATATGCCTGACTTGGGCCAGCTACTCCAGCGGGGACATCACCGCCGTCGCCCGTGCCAACGAGGACCTGCTGCCCGTTGCGCATACGGCCGACGACCATGCCCCTCGCAACAGACTTCAGCACAGCTTTGCGGCTGACACCTGCGGCGTCGATATATACCAGACCGACATTCTTGACTCCGCCAGTGAGGTCGGAGGCCACCGAACCAGCCTGCTCGCCATAGCGATGTCCAATCATGGTGCTAGCTGCATTGGAGCCGGTGATCAATACGTTGCGAGCACCCTGCTCGATGCCATCCGTTAAAGTCGAGAACGCAATCAGCGACTTGTTCAGGATGCCGGGCTTGTAGTCGCTCCCGGACCTATTGACACCCCTCTGTGTACCATTGTCCTTGCGGCGGGCCAGGGAGGCGCCGATATTCTGGGCGTATTTACCCACCTGACCAACAGTCTTTGCAGACAGATCGGCAGCACCCTGCGAGAATGTACCGACCTTTCGGATCCGAGAATGTGTGGTGTCAGAGAAGGTCATCGGTTTAGGGTTGGGCTTGGTCTTTTTGGTGAAAGCTTCTGCGCCGCTCGTGATAGCGTTGGCAAGGTAGGAAGATCCGGTGACAATCAAGCGAGAGGCAGTCGCAGAGGTCTGAACGATCGTCGAGTCTTTGTAAACCGGATGACGAGCCATCCGCAGGTATTCCTCGGAGACATTGCTGACGTTGACTTGGTTACCCTCGGCCTCAGTAGGAAGTTCAATCTCCACGGGTCCTATTAAGTCAAGACTGTTAGCACATTCATGGGTTAGGAGGGAGAGAAGACGTACTCTTCGAGCCAGGTTTGACACCAGGCTTCTCAACCACATCATATCCTTCCATTTCACCAACGACGCTCCCATCTTCCTCGTCCACAAGAACGATCCGGCCATGGGCATCATCCTGGGCAAAGCCTGATGGGGCAACATATCCTTCGCCTGGCGCGTAAGTTGCGGGATTATACGGAGCATGATCGCTCGGCGGGGGAGCGCGCTCGAGGAACGCCGTGCATTGAGCCAGGATAGTCTCAAAGGTATCGATATCATCCTGTGTGACCTTATCCGGACCTGAACCGATACCCGGAAATTGGATGCGAATGAATGCGCCATCATCAGGGCCCACATCCCAGCGAGGGATCAAGTAGCTGTCTGGAGACTGGTGGAAGATCTGGGTGGTAGCAGGAAGCGCTAGGTCCAGTTCCGGTGGCAGATGCAGATGAAGGTAAAAGTCCTCCTCTGCAGATGCATCAGGGGGAGGCGTCGAGGGGGAATTGCCAGGGGAGGACGTTCTGGTGGGGACCATCAGGAGAGAGAGGGTCTGAGGCCCAGACGGGGTCAACTCTGTCTCTTCGCCATTTTGAATGTGAAAAGCACGGATGTTGCCGATGCTGTAGAGTAGCCTTGGATCGTGAACGGTAGAAGTCATGACTGAATTGCTTTGAAAATAGACAGTAAACACGTTTCAGAAACCGAAGACCCTGTCTTTACCAAGTGGAGGACTTTGCGGGGGCAAAGAGCTGATAACACGGCACAGCCGCTTGGCGGGGAAGATTGCAAGATGAGAGACGGTGTACTGTCCACAGCAACCAAGTAAAATTATGATAGTGAGTAAATGAGAGAAGAAGGAGAAGAGATGCGACAGCAGCACCGGGGAACAGGCACTAAATACTTGCCCGAACCCCGGGCAGACCGACGAGCTTCGAGATTAACCATTGAATGAATGGATGGCGGCCAAGAGGGGAGTGACATAATCGCCCCCGTCCGCTCTTGGCACTGCTGCTGCGCCACACCTCATCACATCACACCGCACCGCCACATATACTCACGGCGGCGCGTGAGTGGTCCGTCTGCTCACAAGAATAGAACAGCTTCGCGGCCGGCGGCAAGATTCACCCCCCATCCCTTCCCGGAAAGGCCCTGGTTGAGTGGAGGTGGCTCTCTTTCCCCTCTTTGACAAGCCAGTCAGTGCACACCCCGAATTTTCCAGTGGCTGCAGGGTTCTTGTTGGAGCCAAGGGCGCTTAGAGTGCTGAACAACTGGGATCGAGGGATAGACTAGGGAGGTCAAGCCCCTCACTAAAAATGGCACGGTTCCAGATCGTCTCCGACCTGCATCTAGAAAATCCCAAGGGATACGACTTGTTTGAGATTGCGCCAAAAGCACCATATCTAGCGCTCCTGGGAGATATCGGCAATGTCAGGGACGATGGCTTCCTCCTGTTCATCGAAGATCAGCTCCGCAAGTTTGAGATCGTCTTTCTCGTGATGGGAAACCACGAGCCCTTCCACTCTAGTTGGTTGGACGTGAGGGAGAAGCTGAAGCGGTTCTCTGACGATATAACACGCAAAGGAGCACAGATGCAAAATACCAAGTCCGGGTCTCACAACCTAGGGAAGTTTGTCCTTCTCGACCAAACCCGATATGATCTGGCACCAGATCTCACGGTTCTGGGGTGCACGTTTCACTCCAAGGTCAGCGAGATGCAAGAGGAACGGGTTAGCTTCGGCTTGAATGACTTTTACTACATCAAGAACTGGTCGGTCGAGGATCACTGCGCTGCTCACGAAGCTGACCGAGCTTGGCTCAACGATCAGGTCACTGAAATTGCAAGATCCAACCCCCATCATAGAATTGTGATCTTTACCCATCACAGTCCAACTGTTGCACCTCTGGCGGTGGATCCCGCGCACGCGAAGAGTCCTATATCATCGGCGTTCGCGACGGATCTCGCCGGAGAGGCGTGCTGGGAGAAACCCCAGGTGCGACTGTGGGGATTTGGCCATACGCATTACAACTGTGACTTTACAGATAGTCGAACGGGGAAGCGTATTGTGGCGAACCAGCGAGGCTATTACTTTTCTCAAGCAAAGGTGTTTGAGCCAGAAAAGGTGATAAGCATATGATAATTGATAGAGCGGGAATGGCATGTGAACGAGGGGTTGGGAGTTCATGTCTCGGGCTATAGATAGGCGCACTGGAACCTATTTTGACAGAAACAAGTTAGTAGTGACATTCAGACAATGATATCTAATTAATCTGGTATGGCTTCCAGTTGACAGGACTCGTAGATATGCCCCAGCAGGTGGTTAAATGCGGAGAGATGGAGCTGGAGCTGGAGGAGCTGGAGAAACGGGGAGACGGCTGATCGACGGCCCTCGGCCGCGTTTAACCGAGGCCCGTCTGCGCTCCTCACTCGTGATCTCTCCCCATCACCACCTGCTTTCCACCTCTTCCCTTCCTCCTCTCCTTGCGTGTCTTGCCGTGGCCTCGAGTTACACACTATAACCAGTTAATCCAGTCAGCTCCATTTCGATATGGCGTCTATTACCCGTGCGTTGCGGCCTTTGTCGCGCACTGCTACCTCCGCCCGCCTTATCGCAAGACCACCGTTGTCGGCCAGGCTAGCTGTGAGGTGAGTTTTGGCCGTCACCAGCCTTCAACAGGACAAGAGCCATAGCAATACACCCACGATTATGGCCGTTACTTATTGCTAACACCCTCCTCCAGCAGCACCCATGCGTTTTCCACCACCTCCCGCCGGCGGGATGTCGACCTGTCCGGACTGACGCCCACCCCGATCACCTTCCTCTCCGAAACAGAGTCCTTAATGTCCGAATCCGTCAATAAGTTCGCTCAGGAGCAAATATCGCCCAAAGTCAGAGACATGGATGAAGCGGAGACCATGGACCCTGCCGTGGTCGAGCAACTCTTCGAACAAGGACTGATGGGCATTGAAATTCCGGAGGAATACGGTGGTGCGGGGATGAACTTCACGGCGGCGATTGTGGCGATTGAGGAGCTTGCTCGCGTCGATCCTAGTGTCAGTGTTCTTGTAGACGTTCACAACACCCTAGTCAACACCGCTATCATGAAGTACGGTGACGCGCAGGCAAGACGCACATGGCTGCCCAAGCTGGCTACTGGCACCGTCGGCTCTTTCTGTCTGTCGGAGCCGGCCTCCGGATCGGACGCGTTTGCCTTGCAGACCAAGGCTGAGAAGACAGCCGATGGGTACAAGATCAACGGATCGAAGATGTGGATTACCAACGCCATGGAATCCGGCGTGTTCCTTGTCTTTGCCAACCTTGATCCCAGCAAGGGTTACAAGGGTATCACCGCCTTCATCGTGGAGAAGGATACTCCGGGATTCTCCATTGCGAAGAAGGAAAAGAAGCTGGGCATCCGGGCCAGCAGCACCTGCGTGCTCAACTTTGACGACGTCCTGATCCCCAAGAGCAACCTGCTTGGTGAAGAAGGCCAGGGATACAAGTACGCCATTAGCATTTTGAACGAGGGACGAATTGGTATCGCCGCCCAGATGACCGGGTTGGCCCTCGGCGCCTGGGAGAATGCCGCACAGTAAGCATCCCCCAACACCACCTCTCCATATCTCCGCGGGCCTCCCGTATCTCCGAGGGGACCTAAAGCAGTCATCCCATGGCCGATGTTTCCATTGCTAACACGTGTCACAGATATATCTGGAATGATCGACGCCAATTCGGCCAACTGATCGGCGAGTTCCAGGGCATGCAGCACCAGGTGGCACAAGCGTACACTGAGATCGCAGCCGCCCGTGCGCTGGTCTACAACGCGGCACGCAAGAAGGAAGCGGGACAAGACTTCGTGCAAGATGCCGCAATGGCGAAGTTGTATGCCTCGCAAGTTGCTGGCCGCGTGGCTGGCTCCGCAGTGGAGTGGATGGGAGGCATGGGCTTCGTGCGTGAAGGTATCGCCGAGAAGATGTTCAGGGATAGCAAGATCGGCGCCATCTACGAGGGAACCAGCAACATTCAATTGCAGACGATTGCCAAGTTGCTACAGAAGCAGTATACTCGCTAAGTGAAACGATACCTTTTTTTTCTTTCTTCTTATTTTTTCCCCACTTGTTCCATGTTATCATCCGGCATTCGATTTATGGTTCCGTTTCATAGATTGAGATCCGATCCATCCTAGATACATTCACATGACACATTATACTATACTACATTTATCCTCTTCTTATGTCACTTTATGTATCCTTATGGCTTAATATCCTCACATCCGAAGAAGGGTATGGAAATCAACGAACCTCGTGTCGATCTAGCCGAGAAACTCAAATCCCAAACCATGGGACTGGAACCGATTACATTCTCTACCATACATCCATATATCCATCCTCCAATATCCTCTCATCCTTATGTCCGACATCCGAATATGCATCTCAGATGTTAAATGGGGATCCACTACTTACAAAGCACATAGTTACATACATACATACATACATACATACATACATACATACATACATACATACGTAGTCACCCAAAAGAAAACATCCCCTCTTACCGCTATGTACTATTAATACCCGGAAACTACATCCATTCATTCCATAATTGGCCATGTCGGCAAACAAGACAATAGAAAAACCTCAGGCAAGACTAAATACTATTTGGGTAGGTATCATCGATTAACGTCTTAGTGGGGACCCTAGTACTTACAGTAAGTAGTCTTCCTTGCTAGGGAAAAAAAAAAAAGTAGTATAGTAGTACTTTCCTACCGGCCGAGTAGTTTAACCTTTCTTGTCCAACTGCACATCTACTATGCTAGTTAGAAATCCCGTACTTACAAAATAATCCATCTCAACAAGACAGTACTATTTATACTTCTACAGTATGAATAATGAAGTGCAGACAGAACCCATAAAATTAAACGCCGAATTCCCCGCGCCCCCTTCCCCGACATCCATCCCACATCCATCCAACTAAACTAAATCAACTAACCAGAATAGACTTAACCATCTACTATACTTAGACTAGATAGCCAAATAGATGGATAAATAATTTTAAGGGCTGCTGCAGCCTAGGTAGGCTGAATACTAGTACTACCTACTACTAAGTAAAGTAAGTAGACTCCATCCGACCCAGAGTTGAGTTGAACAAAGTTACGATCAACAACTACAGCCGTAACTTAGAGTAAGAAATATGATTAGTATAGTAAGTAGTAACTAGAGGTATCCGACCGATCCGACCGAAAGTACAATAATCATACCGAAATATGCCTGCATTAACTTCTTTTGATATATCATAATTTTTTGGACTCAGCCAAGCAAGCCAAGGCCAAGAGCCAAGCCAAGAAATTGAATCAGGATCATCAGAGAGTTTTGATGGAGGCTCGGTTGGAGAGGACAAACCCCCCCCCCTCCCCGATGACAGAAATGGAAAGCTGGGTACTGGGTACTGGGTATACTGGTTCCGATCGGAAGCTTACACAAGAAAGGGAAAGGAAAGAAGACAGTGGAAAGAACCGACAGAGAGAGGGTTTTCGGGAGTTATTCTGGATCCGATCTCCCCGGTTTGATCCTCTTTTTTCTTTCTTCTGTGTTGTTCTTTACTGTGCTAGTTTTGGATTAAACGCTTACTCTGCCGAGCTCGAATCATCGTTAAAGGGTAGGTGGATAGTAGTAGCTGGGGTTGATTTCTTTTGTCTACTTCGAGTAAAGTATGGATGGGCCTTGTAGAAAGAAAGGAAATCCGGTAGACGAGCCGGTGGGCGGCGGGCCGGCTGGGGAAAAAATAAAAGGAAGATTTGCTAATCGGATGGAAAGTGTGGTACGCAGATGGTTCTGGAAAAAGTAAAATTTTTACAAGATACATTCCATGAAGAGGAAAAAAGGGGGGCCAGTATACACTGGGTCATTCTGGGGCTCTGATGATGTTTACGATGATGAAAATGATCATATTGTGGTTTTCTGGTTGAATCTGAAACCGACCATGTGGATTCGTAGCATCTCGGTTATCGACTTTCTTTCTCTTCTTTCTTTCTTTTCTCTCTCAATCTAGATACTATTGACTAATCAGTCTACCATTGAATCATGTAATCTGATTCCTCTGCATCCCCCTCCCCCTCTCTATCCAAGCGAATCATGAGGAAAACGTGGAGTTGCCGTTCCATCATCTCCCGCCGGCAAATCTCGTCGTGTTCGCGGGCCGAAAATCACGGATTTGTTTCTGCTGGGGCGGGTCGTCGGGAGAGCTGGAGCTGGGACTGAACGGGTCAGATCTGCCCTGTTCCACGATACGGTGTGGTGACCGCCAGTGTCACCGAGATAACCGGACCCCTGGGAATTTTTTTTCTTTGGTGGACGCCAGGCAAGAGGCAAGCCAATTTCCGGATCCAATGAAGCGCCTTCATCACAAGTCTATGCAGACAAGTTGGAGATAGCCCTGTGTAATATGACCAGCCCGAAAGTATGTGTTTGTGTCGTTTTGCGTAGTTGCACGCAGCAGTGTTTCGCGTCCCAGATACCAGGTCCTCCCCGTGCGTTGAGTCGGAGAGTATTGATCGTAACCATCATCTGATAGCTTGCTGAGCCTCCAGGCAACGACCGCAATTGCCTTGGCCTCTTGCAAGAACCTCTTTCCTTTCGTGAGAGACCCACTTGCTCGTCCAGCGTCTCACGACTGATGCGGGTTCCAGGCATAGCTGTAGTCATTCCGTGTCTGAGGTGGAAGCGTATGTTGGTGATATGGCTGTGGCGCATGCACGAGAGAATATCCTGCCGGTCTTTCTGTGGGTATTGTCGGTACTGACATCGGCCGCTGTCCAGGCACGTAATGAACTGGTTGTGGAGGATGGGGTGCTAGGTCATCTACTGGTCCACGAGTGGCGTTCCCGGTGTGATATGCCTGTGCATACGATTGAAATGTCGGGTCTGGTTGAGCACCGACAGGCGCGCTGTAGCTAACCTGCGGTGGCGCGACAGACATGGCGCTCGCCGGCTGAAGTTGATTTTCGAACAGGTACGGTTCAGCCCGGTTCCCATAATTCGCCTCGCTCGATTCGCATGTTGAAGGTGACCGGTTTGTGCCATAAGGTGGCCATTCCGACCCTACCGAGACGCGACTGGACGTGGAGATGACTGAGGGGGCTCTAGAAGCTGGATTCATCCCCAGAGGCTCTGCAAACTGCGTGGCCGGGAGCATAGACCCGGGAGCATTGCTATAAGTTCCTTCTGTTGATGCGCAATGGATATCTGTCAGCCATTTCAGGTTCTTTCTGTAGCTGAAATAAATGAACGAGACCGGCCACCTACCCATACCCGGATATCCTTGCCTACCAGCCAGAGCGAGCTGATGCTTCAAAGCTCGAATTTCATGTTCCAACGCCACATTCCGTCGGACGACATCGTCAAATTGTTCCCCCTTGGCTTTCAACTCGGCCACTTGGTGCTCCAGCCGTTCAATGTGCTCCTTGGTCCGCTGACGAATGGTTCTTTGGGCTTCCCGATCGTTGGCGCGCTTCCTCTCCAGCTGTTCGGCAGAGAGCGACGTCACTTTACGCGCCCCAGCACGAGACTCGCGCTTTTTGGCCGTGGGGGGTTCTGGAGTAGGGCTCATCCTGCTCATCAAATCGTATTCAGGTGGGTGATGATGTGAGAAGAAGAGCAGAAGAGGGTTTATTGCAGGTGATAGGTGTGATTTGTATAGGCAACGTGATGCATCCCAGACAGGTGTGTGGACCGCTAAAGGTACTTGAGCCCGCCTCTCAAGATGCGACTATAGCGGTTCCAAGTGCGTGGGTCGCGCTAAACTAGGTATATATATACCCAAGGGGACGGACAGAGACCGTCTGATAGGAACAAGGTGGGCGGGTAGATACGTAGGTAGACAGTAGTTACTTACTTAGTAGGGGTTGGTGGTGGAATAATCTTTGTTGAGCGTTTGAACGAAAACGAATCAGGGAACTGCCCTTTTTGGGCATGGCTGCTAGGACCCATTCCAGCTCAGACAGACTCTGACTGGTGCAGGCAATTATTAGGCACGTATGGCCTGGGAGGATCTAGTCCTGGCTTGGTCTCCAGATCGTCCCTGTCTCTGCCTCAGACAGCTTGGAGTCTCCAGCTCCCCAACTTCCTTAGTTATCAGCAGTAAAACCAGTAAAGTAAGTAATAAACCGTACACTTTCGTTACCAACCGTTGGCTTGGGGCCCGAAGACGCGCCAATGAGCAGATCCCTCGAGCAGCCCAATCCCATGAAGGAAGGGGGAGGGGGAGGGGGGAAGCACACACGGCTTTGGTGCAGTGCTTTTCTTCAGGTAGCTCTTACGATGGGTCAGCGGCGCAGCGCTATGAGCACCTTCCGACCCTCCCGACCTACAAGCACGCTCTAATTCGCAACTTGGGGGGGTCCCCTCAGCACCCTAGACGGGTTGGCCTGGTTGCGTGGCGGCAGCGTACACCAGTCAAGTACCGACGCCGTTATGCCGGTTACCCCGAAAGAGCAGAGACAAATTGGCACGTTGTTGCTGTCCATCTCCTGTCCTAGAGCATGTCCAGCACGAAATCTGCATCTGGAGTAGCATCTATTGTACGGCATTTAGTAGTAGTATTGACCATCCGGTGGATCTTAGTCCTTCCGGGCCACATGGCAGACCCGATTCAGTAGCGGGTTCAATATTTCATTAAGCGAACGAACAGAAAAAAAAAAGATAAAAAAAAGCAAACCCCAAAAAGAGAATGTGGAAATGGAAATGGAGAGGAAAAAAAAAAGTACAAAATTAAACGAAGATGAAAACCATGGGCGACTGACGCCGCCCTGGGGCACATACAGAAGCTTCATGGCGTTCGTTCAACCTCAGGAGAGAGTAATCCTTGGCACCATGCCGGGGCTTAAGCCAAAAACAGAGATCAAGTTGAGGGTAAACCGACTGACCGACAGTCAGAAACTGGCAGTTGGAGGGCCGCTGCAGTGCAGGCGGGACGGGGGAATACCGAGAGCGACCAACTTTGTCCATAAGGCTAGAACGTCCAGAGACCAAGCGGAGCTGACCATAGGTGTGGGTTTTGGCTGTTCAGACTACC